ATCAGGTATCTTCCTTTTCTCCATGGATGGTCTGAGACACACGCACCGCTTTGTTTGCCTGGCACCGCTCCACGCTGGTTGCAACTTATGACCACTGATCTCTATGGCTACGACGCAAATTATTGTTTACATTTATTTATTGTACAAATGTTTACAGCATTGGAAAACAAAACATTTTTGTTTGACCTCCTGCACACCATAATAAAACAAACTAAAAAATACATTTTCATACATTTTTGAAAAAGCTCCATAGAGCCACAAGGGGGGCGCTAAAGAGCCGCATCTGGTTCCAGAGACACGGGTTGGCGACCCCCGTCCTCGTGGTTGAAGCAGTGCACTGTTGCTCTGAGAAGGTTGCAAGTACGAGGTTCGATCCCCACAGCCTGCACTCTGAGATCCTGAGCAAGACCCTTGACCCCACATTGACCCATGATGAGGTAAATGCAGAGAGTGAATTTCCCCTTTGTGAGAAAATAAAGAGATTTGCATTTTTTTATACAAAATAGCAAACATAAAATTCTTCTTTCTTTTATGTCACTTTGTGTTGGTCTATCGAATGAAATCTCAACCAACTATATATTTTGTAGTTGTAGCATAACAACAAATGAACTCAGTTAGGTGGAAGATTCTAAGTTAGATCGACAGAAACAGCAGCTGGTCGATATGTTTGGCCAATATTTCAACATTTCTTCTTCCATTTCAGTCGATACATGAAACGCATTGCTGCCCCCTCACCGTTTGCTTTCCATAGTTAATGTTTTCTTTTATTTACTGATTATTGTTTATATTTTCTAAAGTGCGGCTTGTATAACTTTTACTAGAGCTGCACTAATTGTAGATCTTTTTCAATTCCGATTTTTTTTTTAACACTTTTAGTAGTTATATGATCACGGACACCTACAATATTTAAGAATGTATCTTAAGAAAAATGAATCAGTTCCCATGAAACAATAAAAACATTTCAAATTCCTGCTCTTGAGCATGAATTCAAGTTTAGAGAATTGACATCCAGGTTTCGGCTGATAATAAATTTTTCCAAAATGACAGATATCCTGTCTGATCGGCCGATTAATCAGTGCTCTCCTTTTTGTCATCACATCTCATTTTTATGAGCCTAAAGAATCTGGCCAAATATCCAGCAGCACATAGTGAGGATCAGTTATCAGGGTCCACCTTCAGGAAGCCTGCAATGGTCGATTTCTACACATAAGAACTCGAAAGTCATATAAGTTATGCTGATAGCTCTGAGAGATTTGAAATGATCCCAAAACCAAATAAGAGAACCGCAGAGAAATGCAAAGTGTCCGGCATCAGACATGCATATCAAGACAAAGTTAGTTTCTCCTCAAAGGAAAGCAAAACAGAAAGAGGCTGAAAATGTGATGCAGATGAGTCCAAATGTGTTTCAGTTCTTCTCATGAGAGCGTGTGGGAGCCTCACTTCTCTGTCTGACACACAGGGGACCCTTTTCATGTCTGGACTCAGGAGCCTCTTGTTTTATAACAACTTCCAACATGAAAGCGAGGATCCGAACTGATGGGAGCAAACAACCATCCCGCATATCTTGGGTTGGGACAAGGCTGAGGCCGATGTGTTTTTACGCATGGCGTCTGGCTGCACGCTCACTCATCAGCCTGATGCACAGATAAATATCCACAAGTCTAAAACGATTCTCTCACAAGAAGCTGAAAACTAAACACATTCCAGCAGAATTAGCATTGGATTTTCTTGGTGTGATTGTATTGATTTCCACTGCTTTCATTAGCCCATCATAACCCCGTCCTTAAATCAACTATTCAGCAAATATTTATGTTTTGTTAAACAAATATAGTTACACTGATGAAAAAAAAAAAAAAAAAAGACAAACCTGGATAATGAAGTATGGATTTCCTCTGCAGCATTTTTACACAAAATAAGACATGTTTTAAAATTGCCCTGAAGGAGAAACTGTGAATTATTAAAAAAAACAAAAAAAAACTATGTCAGACAAGCAGCTTCTGATAGATTTCTAAGAACGTTCCGAAGCATTTTAGTTCCATTTAAAGTCGTAGGGAAGTCATATATAAATGTCCAATTATTCTGGCTTAAACATGTATATAAATGTACTCTTTATTAGATGATATTGCCCAAATAGTTAGAAAATTTCTATTTAAAAAAAAAGTCTTAAAATCTGTTGTTTTTTTTGTTATCTCATGCAGGCCAGTTAGTTATACATCAGCCTGAACACCTAAATTCGGCCAATCATATATCAGCGGTCATCTGTCAATCACATTTTTTCGGTCATAGCATCTTGATTCTTCTGTCGCAGCTAATAAACACAACAGTTGAAATCAGAATCATTTCCTTTCCCATTGAGTTCCGTCCCAGTGTTCACGGGGATGGACGTCTGTGTCTTCAGCAGGCGTAGAGCTAACAGAACTGGCAGCGTTGCGAGGCGAGGGCTCAAACATGTACGGCTGGAAGCCTTCTACACCAAACCAAGCTTCTGCCGCCCTGGCGTCCTCTTCCACAACATCTTCATCCCCGCTTTCCTCCTCTAAATAAAAAATGTATGACAAAGGAGACTCATCCACGACCTCTGACACTAAACTCTCCTCCTCTTCCATGTTTCCTCTGTCCATAGCGTTCCTTGACAGTGTCGTTTCTAAGTCACCAATTTAGTGCTACTTGGTCCCAATGGAATTTCCCATTAGGAACCTACTAGCACTAAGTCGCTAACTGGTTAGCAAGATGCTTCCAACAAACCGGCTACAACCAAAGTTGGGCACCACTCGGGAGAATTCGGAAATGCAACGGTTGGAACATCCGTTTCCCTACGACTTTAAATGAGGTTGGGGTTCAGCATGAGGTGTTTGACGCTAAAGGCTCCTAAGGCAGCATAGGAGGGAAAGGTGGAGGCCACAGTATCTTTAGTTGTCACCTAATACAGCTGCTTCACTTGAACATCTTATTCTGTTTGCTGTGGATCTCATCTCCACTCATACCACTGCTGCTTAACTCCTGAATCCTGGCAAAGGTTTAGTCCTGCAGGTGCCTGCAAAGAGGAACTTACTGGTCCAACTGGTCCCAGTTTAAAGATTGTTTAAACCTTATAAGCCTCTTGTTGGAATAAATCTAAAACATTAAATTTTTTTATGATAATCTAACTATATGTTACCATTGAACTTGGTGCAGTGGTTAGCGCACACAACCTGTTTATGGAGACCTTAGTCCTCAACGCGGTCGACCTGGGTTCAAATACAGCCTGTGGTCCTTCCCAGCATGTCTCTCCCCCTCTTTCATAACCCCTTTTCTGTCAGCCTGCTGTCCATGAAAATGAGCTACTAGTGCTGTAAAAACTTAAAAAAAGAAATCTGAGCTGCAGAACTGATTTCACAATCAACAAAGATGTCTTCAAATTAAAATCTTTGGCAACAGATTTAGCAGGTCAATAAAATGAACTGCTCATGATACAAGTATTTTTGGCTGTAAAATAAGATGATTAATCATTAAGCATTTAAAATAAGACAATTAAATTGTTACTTTTTTCTTATTTTAAAAATAAATAATCTTACTCCATCAGCTAATTATCTTACTTATCAGCTCCAATCAGAGGAAAATACACTAAAATCAAGAAAAGTAATTGATTTGAAAATGTGACCTCTACCTAGAGGATGGCAGGGTTTTTCTGTTATTTCTCTTAGCCAAGTTGTTTTTATCTCATACATTCATTTAACCGTCGATTTATTTTTCTCGTCGCCTTGATGATACCCAGACACTTAAAAAATCATTGGAATTAGTCCAAGCTGCATTTCTGTGATTTGCACTTTATATTTAGAGATTTATTTGTGTTTTATTTTCTCTGCATCCCACAGTCGTTGTATTTCTGCTCTCTATATGGACTAAAAGTTTGATAAATAAAGCTTTTGTATGAGGAATTCAATTAAAAGCTTGCTTAAAGCTCATATGTGAAGCAAAGGGAACATAATCAGATCTGATGGGTCTTTGGATCAGATCTCATGTCTTATCTGATGTTCAGAGCCATGTGGGCATGGAAGCTCACATTAAGCTGTGGGATTAAAATATTCACAGGGTCACATAAATAAGTAATAGGGACTCATAAGGTGATGGTGACACAAGCTATGACCCCCACCACCCCCAGCTTGTGCAGCTCTGGATGCGGAGCCACATCTCCCATCCCAGCTGACATGTTGACATAGAGTCACTTTTCAATGAACAGCAGGTCGTTATGTCGGTAATTTTCTGCAATTTCTGCAAATTGAACCGACAATGAAATGGCAACGCTGAAACCAATGATGTAATATTGTTGGTTTGACATTCAACTTCAAAAACAGTTTTAATGCTGCTTCTGTGGTGAGTTAACAGCCTTTTAACTCCGCTGGAAAAAATCTATCCAGATCTAGATAAGTCATTTTTTTTCTCAAAATAAGTGCATTTGTTCTTCAGCTGAGGAGCTAAAAGAGACATTTTGCCAAAGGAGAAAGGCAATTTACACTTAAATAAGAAAACACAATTGCATTGTCTTATTTCAAGGGCATTTGATCTAATTATCTTATTTTAAGAGTAAAAATACTCATTCCATTGGCAAATAATCTCATTTACCTACTCAAATTAAGGGTAAATACACTTAATTTAAGAATTTTTTACTTATTTCTAGATTGTTTTTCCCATCTATTAGTTGAATAAATGTTTGTTTTATTTAAACTGACGTTATCTTAACATTTTACGTCAATCGGATGCAAAATGGGATGTTGAGAATTATGACATAAAAACACAAAACAGGCAGAAAATGACTGAGCAGCATGAAACTCAGTAACACAACAAATGAGCCTCTGAACCCAAACTGGACCTCATCTTCATCAGACTGGGTCCCAGAATGACAGGATATTCACAGATACACTGATTGCCAGCATGCTTTAGTTGGTCTGTTTCTGGCTTCCTGCCCCCCCACAAATAAACACCCCCCCACAAACACTCGTGCGCCCGCCCTCTTCTCTTACCTGACGCGTGGATGAAAGTAATCCTGCTTTCCTAAAGCAGCAGATGGTGCTGAACTGGAGGAAAACGTGCAGCAATATCCACCTCTGACTCTGTCCACAGATTCCAAACACAAAACTGCCTTAAAGGAATAAAAATGTGAAGATCTTCCTCTGCTCGTTTCCAAAACGATGTGAGCTGTTCTGTCACAGAAGAACAGCCGGATCAGATCTGGTCTCTTTCCTTCAGGCAGCTGAAGTCCGCTCCTTTACGCACCGTTCCTGCTGCGCTCTCCTCCGTCTGTCCCGCTCCTCGCTCCTTCCAGGACGGAGGAGGTGACCCTGCGCTCCCTCTGCGTCTCCTCCTGTCCCTGTCCGGGATGGTGGTGTGAAAGGAGCCGCTCTAAAAATAACTTCCAATCTCCAAACCTGAAATAAAAATCCCTCTTTGAAGTAGGAAAAGGTTTCCAAGCAGAAGCGGATGAGGTGAAACTCTGATACTTTCTTTATGCCTCCAATGAGCGGGATCACCTAGAAGATGATTTATTCCTCCTCCAATACAGCAGTCATCAGTTTGCATCGCTCATCTGTCAGCTGATCAGTTCGCAGCGAAGCAGGTTTGGGTTCAAGTTCTCCTCCTGATGACGATGATGATCAATATTCAATCAGCCAATCAGAACACTTCATTCCAGCTCTAGAAAGCTACTGATTCCTTAGATGTTTGTAAAAGTGTCTCCTTCTAGCCTTTCTTGACTTCCCCGCTCCAAAGCCTCCCTCAGGGGTCAGCGAGGAGGGGACTCTGCCTCCCCCCTTTATTTATTTATTTTTTTTATCACTGGATGTTTCTTCTCTTCCAAAATGCAAAGATATCCCCCATCAAAAAAAGTCCACCTGGAAATTAGTAGATCTGTAATCCTCCCTCGCAGTTCAGGGAATGAGATGCGCAAAGCCCAGAGCTGCTTCTTGGATTGTCCTCACAGACCGATGAGAGGACAGGGGAAGGAGGGGGGAGATGGGGGAGGTAAGAACTGCTCCCTTCAAGCTGCAAAGTCAGAAAAAAAGGACTAAAGTGACTCAGTGAGGGAAAAAAGAGGAAAGATCCGAGTTTTATCCAAATCTTCCTTCTCCAGCGGAGGATTTGAAGTGTTGAAGGAGTCCACCACCTCAGAGACTGTAACCAGATAACCTTCCGCGGATCACAGCGACCCGACACATGCAAGATAGTCCAGTTTGCCTCCTGGACTAAAATGATGGAGCTGAGATCAGCCAGAGACAGCAGAGGAACCCAGCAGCCTCCCTGAGCGGCTCCCGCTCCACAAACCACCGGGCGCTGTCCTTTCAGCCCCACACAGCCTGGAACCCTCTCTGCTGTCTGTTTCTAACTGCTGATGTTCCCATCCTGTCTGCTCACGGTGTGTTTCCGGACTTCATGTGTCCCAAATACGCTTCTTATGTCTTAAAGGCAGAAACAGATGGAGGGGAATCAGTTTAGAGAGAGGGAGAAGGTAGGAGAGCGGAGAAAGAGAAGTAAAGTTAGGAGATAACAGAGTGTGAAGGAGAGCGACTTGGTGCTGCTTTTAATGCTCCTTGGCGCCCCCTTTTGGTCATTTTGAAGAAGTTATCCCGGAAATGAGATCTAAGAGAGCTGCTTGAGATTTTAACCTCATGGTCCTCAAGGGGCTCTTTGAAAGTTTGAGTTATTTAACATAACCTAGTCAGTTACAGACTATTTTAATCATTTTCCTGTCAAAGGAAAGCAAACACTTTGGAGACTCCGTCAGAAGTGTGAGCAAAACCACAACTGCTGTGGTTTCAGAGAAAAGGAAGATGAAATATAGAAAAATGACTTTTTTACTCTTACCTGATTTTTTAAATGCATTTTAAGGTTGATAAACTTTTTATAAATATAATAAATAAGGTCAAATTTATTTAATTTTGTTTTGATTTATGTTGTGTGCTTAATTTGATAGTTTATTGGTTGATATTCTGATGTTTTGTGTCATAATGTTCTGGAAACATAAATACTCTGACACTGGACAAGATCTCTGTTACTGAAGAAGAAATAATGTGATGGATAATGGCAACACAATAAAAATAAACTTTTTAAGATATTTAGATAAATAAGGCCTTGTAGAGATAATGGACGTATTCGTTTTACTGGTGGAAAGACTGATTTAGCTGAGTGAAACTAAAGCCAAGTTACAGAGATTTGCATAAAAATATATCCTGCCTTTGTTACAATACACAAAAGTAGAGTAGAGTTGTGTGTTTTAATCACAAAAGTTAATACAGTTTTTTAACATGTCTAAATGACTTTTCTGTGAAGATTTTCGTTTAACAAAAAAACACACATCTAATTTCCACCTAATTTCAATAAAGGAACCAGAAAAGGAATAGGGGGAGGAGTGGAGTTCTGTCAGACCAGCATACCCATAGTAAATACGCAAGACATCAGATTACTGTTTATCCCTTTAGTTTTGTACGAAAGATTTTAAACTACATCGACAGGCGTGTATCCCTTCAGTCATGTACAAAAAAAACAAAACAATCTAAGGTCAGATAATCAAATGCTTCAAAGAACACCAAAAAGTAAGTAATTAAATAATTTTTTAGTACATGACTAAAGGGATTCAGTCCCTTGGAGGTAGTTTAAAGTCTATTTTTCTTGCAAAACTGAAAGGTTAAACTAAAGCAGTGGTTCTCAAACTTTTTCTGTCATTCCCCACTTTGGACAAGGGGGAATTTTCAAGCCCCACCTGTCCCCATCGCCCCAACACAATGCTAATGAAATATGCAACAATCTTAAAATGTTCCAATTTTATTGAACAAGTAGTATCTAAATACAAACTATCTACATCAAAAGCCAGCAAGCTCAAAAATAAAGAAAATAAAAATGCAGCTGTGTCAAAATTTGTATCAAGTTCAAAGATTGAAAAAATTAAAGTTCCACTCTGCAATCTGTTAATAAAAGAAAAGAAGTGAAATCCATCTGGCAAGACAGGTCTATTTATCCCTGCATCAGTGGCTGCAATGAGCCTGTTTTGCATTGCACAGCTTCTCAAAACGGGGTTGCAGGCTTGATACTGCCACTCTCAAGTCATGCTCAATGTTCAGCTGAGATCTGTATTTTGTTTTCAGTGAAGCAACAGCTGAAAAGCCCATCTCACAGAGATATGATGTGGCAAAGGGAAGAAGAATGCACACAGCTCTCTGCCCGATGAGTGGATACTCGCTCTCCACTCCAAACCAGAATTCACTATGAGTCTGAGCATTAAACCTGAGCCTCAGGGTGGAGTCAGACGTCATTTCAATAAACTGGTCCTATTTATTTAAGATAAAATATTTCAAATTCAGTTAATTATGATCAACCTGCGCCGTCAATCCCAGCGCATGTGCGCTTTATTTGCAGTCTGGACGCTGTGGTGTGTCTGACTGCAGCGCTGAGAGGGACTCCTGCGATAGCGGGGGAGAACGGGGTTGGGAGGGAGAAGGCGCCCCACGGCAGCACCTGCCGCTGGAGGACAAGAAAAGGAACGATACGTGCTTTCACGTAAGAGTCTCCAAAAGTCGCTAGATTTGTCGCTAGTCGCTTTTTTGAAAAAGAGTCGCTGGAGGGGTCTGAAATATAGCGACAAAGTTGGCAACACTGGGGCGCGAAAGTTTATTCCGTTACAAATAATATGCCGACGTCACGTCAATCATTATTTTGGCACTTCAGTTCCAGGTGAAATTTTTCTCATATCTAATGTTCTTTTAATTAGACTGTATGTAGGCTAGTAAGGATTACTTTGTGGGTTTGATTGGTCTAAAAAGCGGCAACATACAGCTATAAGGACAGTTTGCTCTCACACATTCTACATTTATAGTCACACGACACACACACACACACCGGAACTTGGCGCGCCCCACCTGTCACGTCTCAATTCCCCACCAGTGGGTCGCGCCACACACTTTGAGAACCGCGGAACTAAAGGGACAAATGGATATTGCCTATGTGTATGTTGGTCTGACCAGGTATGTTCATCTGACAGAACGGTGGCCTAGTGGTTAGGGCATAGAGCTTGGAATCCTGAGGTTGTGAGTTTGAAACTCACTGCCACTCTGGCTCTCTGAGCACATCCCACATTGCCTCCTTGGTGCCCTACAATGGCAGCCCACTGCTCCCCAGTGTTAGGAATCCAGTTTGTTTGGGTTGTTTGTGTGTTTTTCTCTCCCTCCACCACCAGGTTGTGCCCTGTTCTCGTTGGCCTTCCTGCACACCTGCGGCTCGTTGGTTCATCACTGAAGAGTGTTTGAGGACAGTCACTACCTCGACGGCAGAGTGTTTGCCAGTTGGGTACTCTAGCCAAGCTGAGTTTAGCTGAGTGTAATCTGAGCCTTTGTTTCTCTGAGTCTAACTTCATTTTTGACTTTGCCTTTTTGACAGGAAGCCTTCCTGTGTAACTGGATGCCTGGCCTTCTACCCCTGGAAGTATTAACTGAATTCACACTGATCAGGGGAAAACTTCCACACGTGCCATTCAAGTCCCCATTGGAAATCCAAGTGATAGTCCGCTCCATTGCTCCTCAGGGTCCAACGAATGTCTACTTGTCTGCTCTCCAACAAGTTCCCTCTTCTCTGGATCAACCCACACCAACTGGATCAAGGAAAGACAAGAACCCCCTCAAACATGAGTCCCACTTCCACTGTGCTAAAGACTCAATAAGTTTTTCCTACGGCCCATGAACTGATCACTCTGATCTCCTCTCCAGACTTTCCAGATCCGGTTCACCAGTTCTCTAAGTTCCTGATTTAACTCCTGTACAGTCTCCTGAATAAACCTGTTAAACTTTTCCTCTGATTCTCTGCATGGGGGTCAGATCTCTTAAATCGATCTTGACACCCAAGGGGATGGGTTAAATGCAGAGCCATATTTGTCCAATGTGAGATCACTAAATTTCAATTATTGAAAATGATTAGAAGCCGTTTTGCACGTCTATAACTAGGTTTACAGAAATTAGTCCTGGTTTTAATCTACAAAGCCAGTAGAATTGACTTGTATCCATTACATTTAAGTAACTATTAAGTGTCTACAACCAGAAAAACATGAACTGGGTAAGCTCTATTTATGCAGGATTTTTCTGGTGTTTTTTATTTTTTTTCTCCTGGACGGTTAAATCCTGAGGAGATTGTGAATAAAACCAACTAGTTTGTACTCTGGTGGATCTTTGCTTTCAGCATAGATGCTGTTTGTTGTGGAGCCACCTGGGCCCCATGACACAAAGCAGGGTTAGTTACAATCCAGGGTAGGTTCTGGAATCTTTTCCATTTCAGAAAGCTAGAGAGACATTAGCCTAAAATTATGATAAATTATTTCGAGTAACTGAGTATTTCCCTCTAGAACCACCTGTTGAGGTTGGAACAAATATTCTGAAGAAATCCCCCCCAGGTTGATTGGAAGTTTTATGTTTCCCAAGAGAATATCTCTTCTGAAAATCTGCATTTGTTATATCTATTTACATCTAGGAGATTTTTTAAATATTTCCCTGAAGAGGTCCAGCTTAACCCCCCACTTACACATTTTGTGCCTCTTTTGCCCCCACCATGTAAAATCTAGCAGATCAACCACTGGACCTGAAGCAACCTGGGCTTTCTGAACACCTCAGCAGATCCTTCATACTGCTGGGATACAATCATTTCTATTAAAGGAGATCCAGACACTTATTCAGTGGTCTAATGCCATAAATTATTTTTTAAATTATTTTTAAATTATTTTCACAAAGATGACAGTTTAGATTTTTTATTAACTTTCAACCAGGATATTTAAAAAATAATCAAAATAAACAACTGAATATTAATCTCATTTGATTCTCTGTTTGTAACAAATGTAGGTAATTCGATTTTATTTATGATTTCATTAGTATGTGGCTAATCAAACAGAGCAAAGTACCTGTTTTGTAATCTAAATGCAGTTTTTAAGGGAATATGGCTAAAATTGATATAGTGGATTCGTAGATTTCAACCAGCAGTGGACCCAATTGAGCGGCTCGACAGGCTCCGCACTCTACAAGGGGAACAAATATCCTGCTGATGGGTGGTGGAGCTAAACCACATTTTGTCTCAGATAATCAGCACCTCTCACTGACCAATCAAGCTGCTGATCAGTAGCTCAGAAAAAAAAAAACCTTCATTAGTTTGCAACTGCCTGTATTTTAGCTAAAAAGGAACAAATAACGTTTTTATAAACATTTATTGGCTAACAGGAGGAGGCAGAGTTAAGTCCACCCCTTTGGGTTTCAGTTCCAGTTTATCCAGTTTTATAGCAACAAGAATACATTTTATAGAACGAAGTAGATTTTAAGAGCCTAAATTTTAAGCAAAAACTATTGATTCAATTGAATGAATGTAAAAAAAACTAACAGCTGGAGATAGGCACCAGCACCCCTTGCAACCCCACTTGGGATATCATGATTATTATGAAACAGGCACACACCTGTGTGCAACACAGTGGCATTAGAATTGATAAACATCAGAAAGGGGGTTCCACAGGGCTCCATTT